CCATCACTTGAAGCTCTAAGCTCCGCCAAACCACCAATTCAGGCCCTCACCTCCACCGAATCACCGCCTGTCGCCCTTGCTCCACCAGACCACCACTTAAGGCTCTGTGCTCCACTAGGCCACCACCTAAGGCCTAGACTTCTGCCGGACCACCACTTGAGGCCCAGAATTCTGCCATACCACCACTTGAGGCCCTAACCTCCGTTGGACCACCACTTGAGGCCCTCACCTCCGCTAGACCACCGCTTGATGTCATTGCTTTGTCGGACCACCACTTGAAGCTCTAAGCTTCGCCAGACCACCAATTCAGGCCCTCACCTTCATCGGATCACCGCCTGACATCGTTGCTCCGTCGAATCACCACTTGAAGTCCTGAGCTCCGTCGGACCACCACTTGAGGCCCTCACCTCTCCTGGACCACCACTTGATGCTCTGAGCTCAACCGGACCACCACATGAGATCCGGACTTCTACCGGACCACCACTCGAGGCTCGGACTTCTACTGGGCCACCACCTGAATCCCAGAGTTCTACCAAAGTATAGCCCTACTACAACGATCTTTTAGACCCCGGTCTTCTGCCGACTAAGATCCTTCCGACCTCCGTCGCCTACTATGGTCATTCCAACCTCCATCACTTGACAAAGGTCTTTCAGACCCCGGTCTCCTGCCAACTACGGCTTTCAGACTCCTGTCTCCTGCCGACTATGATCCTTCCAACATCTATCACATATTATGGTCGGTCTGACATCCATCACCAGACAACGGTCTTTCTGACCCCGGTCTCCTGTCAACTACGATCTTTTCGACCTCTATCTTATCAACTATGATCTTGCTGACTAGACAAACATGTCTATGTTGATTATTGTAACTCCACCATGTAATGCGCTCTATATGATGTACATTTGTACCATCAAGCCAAGGCCTTCTCCCTAAGAAGGATCCCATTTGTAATCGACTGCAAATACTAGTAGATTCTTTCAAACTGGGTCATGCCCCGTGGTTTTTTCCTCTTTCTCAGGGGTTTCCACGTAAAAACTCTAGTGTCTTTTATGAATGCTACACCCTCTATATATTCTGCTTGTGTGCTGAATTTTCGTACAATGCTAAGATGTTAAACTTCATATTTTTCTACCGCAGCGAATATTCCAAGACACAACATTTCTATTTGAATGTTAAATCGTACTCTAAAATTCGAGAGATAAACAGTGTAATGCCAAACAAACATCAATTTTTGTGTTAATATATAAATATAAAAATGTGAAAATTATAAATAATAATTTTTTAAAGTTAAGAAAAGGAATTTAAATGGAGAGAAATTATTATATTTTAGAGTAAACAAAAAAAAAAAAGAATTTTTCGGTTCGAGATGCCCTCAGAAAAGGAAACCTGATTTAAATTATGTATAGGAAGGATTTACACGAGATTCACGTAAGGGCGGAAGGCTTTAGAAGAAATTCCTTAAGCTACGCAACTGCAGAGAGAGAGAGAGAGAGAGAGAGAGAGATGGAGAGAGAAGGGATAGAACACAGGATGGTGGAGGTGAACGGAATAAAGATGCATTTGGCGGAGAAGGGAGAAGGGCCGGTGGTGCTCTTCCTCCACGGATTCCCAGAGCTCTGGTATTCGTGGCGCCACCAGATACTATCCCTCGCCGCCCGCGGCTACCGCGCTGTCGCCCCCGACCTCCGCGGCTATGGAGACACCGAAGCGCCGACCGACGTTTCCGCCTATTCAATCTTCCACCTCGTTGGTGACCTCGTCTCCCTCATCGACTCTCTCGGCCAAGAGCAGGTATGACCAGAACCTTCAACCTCTTCTCTCCTCTGTTCATCACCTTCAAAATACTTTTTTTTTAATTATTTTTATTTAAGAATGAGAAAAGATATTTAATTTGAAGGTATTCGTGGTCGGTCATGACTGGGGTGCGATTGTAGCTTGGAATCTATGCATTTTCAGGCCCGATAAGGTTAAAGCGCTAGTGAACTTGAGCGTACCGTTCCTGCCTAGGAACCAGGGTCTGTGGCGAACAGACACCTTGAGGAAGATCTACGGCGACGATTTCTACGTTTCCAGATTCCAGGTCTCTTCAGTCTCTTGTTCAGAATTGGAACTTCAATAATGTAGAATCTTCTGGCTCTGTTTTTCAATTGTTCAAACAATTTGATGCGTTAATATATCAAAAGCTGGCCTTTCGTGGTCTTTGGTTAAATCAAGTTGGGATTATTTAAGCTACTACTACAGAAACATGGACAAGTAAGCTTGTTCTGCTTCTAAACTTTACATTCAGATCTAGTTGGCTCAAATATTTCCATTTTATTGTTCAGGAACTGGGAACTCAGTGCACCCTGGGATGATATTCAAATTAAAGTACCCACGAAGTTCATTGTAGGAGATCAAGATCTGGCCTACCATTTTGTTGGCGTGAAGGATTACATTCACAAAGGTGGCTTCAGAAGAGATGTTCCTTTCCTTCAAGATGTTATTGTGATGGAAGGAGTTGCCCACTTCATAAATCAGGAAAGGCCTGAAGAGATCTCGAACTACATATACGAATTCATCCAGAAATTTTAATTGATCCTTCAGCTCACTGTTTGTTGATCAACTTTTTCCGTTCTGAGTAAAGTAACAAACTATTACAGTAATTAATCGGATAAGAACTTAGTGCATGGCTAGTAGCAGCATTGTGATGTCAATAAGAAGTTCCTGTTGGGCTTTGTGAATTCTATCAGGAAGCTAGCTTGGTATCTTATAGTTGAAGGACTATTTGATAATCTCTGTTTCTTTTACTCTCTTATTTTCAGTGCAATGTTACGGACACTTGAAAGGACCTTTTGATAATCATTTCCAATTTGCATTTTTTTCTACTCATATTTTCAAAAAAATTTCATAAACATATTTAACCAGCAAAAATATAATAAAATCATATCATATCATTCAAAATGATTGATTCTATATTATGAAAGCTTACAAAATGAAGAGATGATGCATTTTTGGCATATTTAGAAAAAATAAATCTATAGAAATTAATCAAAATCATCAAAAACAAAAATAAGAGGATAGTTACTTACAATGCTTAGAACAATTCTTGTGAAAGAGATGACAGACAAAAATGACCTGAAAACTCTTCTCTATGTTCTTCTCTCTCCTCTTCTTTTTTCTTCTTCTTGCTTTTCCTTCTGTTCCTCCTCTTATTTCGTCCGGAGCAAGATAACAAGGGAGGCAGTGGCAGGGATATTTATAATAAAAAATATATAAACACTATAAGTGTCCTAGCGCCACAGCGTCACACCCAGCGCCAAGCGCTACATTTCAAATCAAGAATTACTGTTGTGCAAAGACTCAAACACCGCAACAACATTTTCTAGTGTTGCTATGCTCTCAAATCTAGTGCCACAGCGTCCACAAGTACATCGTAGAAGTGATCCAATTCAAACAAAATTTTAAAATTTTATATTTTAAAATACTTTTTTTTTTTCAGGTTGATACATGCGGTAATAGTTTAAAAATGCATGCCTCCTATACAAAGCATATGTAATGTTCACAATTAATTTGTTAGTGAAGAAGTATAAGAGAAGAAAGGAGAACAGAGAAACAGAGAATACTTTCGTATATTTTCAGTTGCTGTTTACATACAGAGTTTGAGTTATATAGAGACAGAGCTAATGCATTTGAGCTTAATTACAATTATACCTATTGAACATTCTAGATATAGTAAACAGTTAAGTAATGTCTTTAAGTCCTAATAGTTAGACATAATGAACTCTCCACCTTTATTCTAACTTTTGATAAAATACATAAAAATAGATTTGTATCATTCTTTATTCTTAATTTTTGAAATTCTGCATAACAATGTGATCATTTTTATTTGATCAAATATAAAATAAAGAATTAAAAATAATAACAAAATATTTCAAATAAAACATTTTACTTTATATTATACTTAAAACGTGCTGAAAATTTAATTTCAATACTTACAACCAAAATAATGGCAATCAAACTTGCTGATCGAATAGCTAAAAACAAAAAGCTATTGTCAATTTTTTAGTACTGTAACTTTAAAAAAATCGATTTTTATAAAGTAATTTTCAACTAATTTTTTAAATATTTATAGTCGGCCAATGAAACTTAGATGTTACGTAGGGTAGGGGTGTCAATTCAGGTCAACGGGTTGGGTTCGGGTCCAATCAGAGTTGACCCGGGCGTAAACAGGTTGATCCGAACCCGACCCATTTAGCTAGACGGGTCAGAACATACAACCTGAACCCGACCCGCACTAGTTATCGGGTTGACCCGACCCGACACGACCCGCAAACCTGAATTGATCTGGATTTCCTCTCCACAATTCCGCATGTTAAGCCGCACGCGCCGCATAGGGACTAGTGGAGGACTTGGAGCGGACTGACGTGTAGGAGGCTAGGAGGGGACCGACGGTGCAAGCAACTCGACGACGTCGACGTCTCGACGAAGTGATCGCGGACTCGCGGTCCCGCGGAGGAGCCGGAAGCGAACCTGCGATGGTTGGCCCGATGCGAACGGCTGGCTAGGCGGACCAGACGACGTCCAAAATCCCTTGGGAGTTGAGGCCTTGATTCCCTCCCACTGTCCCACTGGACCCAGATGACATGACCGACGTTCAATCTGATCAATCCCTCGTTTCCCCTCCCACCGTCCCACGCACGGTAAAAATTAAAATAGGCGGAGCAAAATGCCTATCTCGAGTTAGATTTGAACGCATCCGTGTTTTAAACGGGTCAATTTCGAGTTGCCGAGTTGACCCGGATCAGACCCATTTTTTAAAACATGCCTAAAATTTAAACCCGAACCCAAGAAATGGGTCGATCCTAGTTCGGATTGGGACAATAATTGACACCCCTAACGTACGGGAAAATAATAAAATTGATAAAATTCACCAAATCCGCCTTATGGACCCCTTCCAATCCCGCAAAGTAGACGCCGCCGAATAAAATCCAAAATTGAAAGTCGTGATGTGGCGCATTAGTATTAGTTTCCGGAATCACTCCGCACCTAATAATTTCTCCTAAACTGAAGTCTGCGGGGAGCGAAAACAGAGAGCGAGATAGAGAGACACGGAGATGGAGCAGGAAGGGATTGAGCACAGGACAGTTGAGGTGAACGGAATAAGGATGCATGTAGCAGAGAAGGGAGAGGGGCCGGTGGTTCTCTTCCTCCACGGTTTCCCGGAGCTCTGGTATTCCTGGCGCCACCAGATACTCTTTCTCGCAGCCCGCGGCTACCGTGCCGTCGCCCCTGACCTCCGCGGCTTCGGCGATACGGAGGCTCCGCCAGACATCGCTGCCTACTCCATCTTCCACATCGTCGGCGACATCGTCGCCCTGATTGATTCTCTCGGCCAAGACCAGGTTTGGCAACTCATAGAGCCCTCCTTCCTGATTAAAAAAAATGATTTTGGGAAAGAAGAAAATAAAAAAATCGATTTTTGGAATTAACTGAAGGTGTTTGTGGTGGGGCATGACTGGGGAGCTCTCGTGGCTTGGACTCTTTGCGCTTTCCGGCCTGACAAGGTTAAGGCTCTGGTGAACCTTGGCGTCCCGTACATGCCCCGAAATCCTGCTGTGAGGCCGGTTGATGGCTTAAGGGCGACCTACGGCAACGATTTTTACATTTCCAGATTCCAGGTTTCTTCACTTTCTCTGCTTCTCTATGGATTAGAATTCTGTAAGCTTTCATTGTTTGCCCCCTTCTATATTTTTACTGATAATTGTTTAAAGTTTCGAAATTATCATACTTGGGGTTTTTTGGCTATAAATAAGATTTGGTATACACTATTAATTCAAATATTCTATGAATTTTCACATCCTTAAACTATCCCATTCTTTGGGCTTTCAAAACTTCTGTAATACCAACCGCATAATTGTAACTCGATCAGGAGCCTGGAGAAGTTGAAGCTCAGTTTGCCCAAGTTGATACCACACTCCTCATGAAGATTTTGTTAACATCGTTCAGCCCGCAGGCTCTGTTTATACCAGAGAAAGGGTTTCCTGGAGGACTTGGTGAAGAAATCACCTTGCCTTCTTGGCTTTCTGAAAATGATATCAACTACTTTGCAAGCAAATTCAGTAAGACAGGTTTTGCAGGTGGAATCAACTATTACCGCAACATGAACAGGTATGTTATTATGTTCCATTAATTGATATCAAAATGCTGTATATGTTAGTCCATATTTATATCAAGTTGTGATTTAGACAAGTCAGGGAGATTAAGGTTTCGTTTGGGACGACTTTCTTACTACTTTTTAAAGCCACTTTCTAGTAAAATAAATGAATTTTTTACTAAAAAGTTGCTTTAAGAAGCCGTAAGAAAATCTCCCCAACGAAGCTTAAGTCCAGCACCAATGAATTTGTCCAAATCAACTTTTTTTTTTTTTCAATTACCTATTTTAAGTGAACTAGTCGTGTGTGTGCTCAAATAAATCTCAAACCTCATAGATATTCCCAACATACAGACCGTTAAACTCTTGAGGAAAAAAAAATCAACAATCAGGTGATGCACATTAGAGACAACAAATGGCAAACTCTAAGATGAGCACTAACACAAGTGTCACATTAGACAATGGGAGCAACGAGTGTGTTGAAATTGCATGATCTATGGATGTGTGGACCACTTAGGACTTATGATAATGTGTGTTATAGATTAGCCTTCTTTTTTTAGATCCAAAAATTTCCATCTGACCAAATTCGCGTAGTGACCTCAAAGTTGATAAATCAAGTAGATGGTAGGCAAACTACGACACGAGTTGATGCATCATTAAAAAATTATTTTGATTGTACACAAATCTCAATGCATTTTTTAAATTGGAACTTCTATAGTTAAATTCAGAATCATCCTAGCACTGATTTCAACAAGCTCATAGTCAAACTAAGCGTATTGATGAGAAGATCCCAACGACACTAAGTGGCCCTTTTCAACTTCAAATGATATTAGATCAAGCACTTGAAGCACAATAGAGAATTTTAGGGCATTTTTGGGATAGTTCCTATGAATCTCATCATGGGGAATACTAACCTACCTCTGAGTAGTTGATAAATAGCTTCCTCTCCCTATAACACTACAGAAACAAAACTTGATGACCACTTTTCACCGAAACAATGTTCAATTGATGCCTTCTCTGCCTAAACCCTAAAGTTTCTGATGAAATTTTGATCATTACATCATTAAATGTACGAGCATGTTTACATTAAAGGGTTTAACTTTATTTTCTTAAGGAGTTGCAAAATCTCCCTCACTTAACTAATTAACGTCTTCTTTAGTTTCCTTAGCCCACAATTATCCATCGGGTAGATAGCATTCTAAAAAGATAGAGCTCCTATCTTTTGGCTTTTGTGTAGCTCTGATACCATGTATAATAACTAAAACTCTCAACCATCGAGATATTATTCGTTTTAGCCTATTAGATTTATGATTTTGTCTCCTTGGTGTAACTTATTACCCTATGAGGCTCCAATATTAGCCCGTTTAATTTTATAGATTCTAATGAAATTCTAAACATTACATCAAAAGGCACATCGATATTTAAGAATTTAATTTTATTTTCTCAAAGGGTTCACAATTGGATCCCTTAATAGTCAACAGAGTTCTTGACTGGAGGAGCAAGAACTCAATTCTAAGAGAGCAGAGAAACAAACGAACAAGTAAAAGAAAATAATTCTATTCCATATGTTATCTCATTACACAGATAAGTATTTATAGAAGAACATATAAGACAGGTTGTTTAACAAGAGGTGCAAGATCTTGAAAGCTCCGTACATAAATGCCATGTCAGCAATATTAAATGCTGATGTGGACGTTTGTTCTAACAATAGTAATCTTACTTCTTGTAGCCATGAGTAGAAAACTTTTATTGTTTTCATTTTTCAGTATTTATGACGACTTTCCTTCTGAACTCTTGGCGTTAAATTCCATCTCTTGTACCCATCGGTGCTGCTGTACTGCAGGAACTGGGAACTCACTGCAGCGTGGACTGGGATTCAAATAAAAGTACCCACAAAGCTCATTCTAGGGGATCAAGATCTAACTTATCATTTCATAGGCTTAAAGGACTACATAGAGACAGGTGGCTTAAAGAGAGATGTTCCATTGCTTGAAGATTCTGTTTTAATGAAAGGTGTTGGGCACTTCATAAACCAGGAAAAACCTGAAGAAATATCTCACTACATTTATGAATTCATCAAGAAATTCTGATCATTCTGATCAATGATCGTTGGTAAACTTGTGCTATTTTTAAAGCTTAATAAGCTCACTCATGGCCATCTGATCAAACCTTTGTGATCGATTTAGAGCTCTTAATTGTTGTAAAAAATGATCAGCATGATTAACTTCTCTGCATGGACAAGCTCAGATCAAAATTTGATTTGTTTTGCCTTTTAATGCCATGTGATGAAACATTTGTGGACCTAATGGTATAAGAAAATGCCATGATTTGTGGATATATCAGCTTGGCGATAAAATCTTTCTTATAAAATTTGTGTACCAAATGGTTTTTTTAGAATGAGTTTTTTAGTTATATTAAGCTTCCCCGTTTGATGGTTTTTTCTTTAAGAATATAGTTATTGAAGATTAACGTTTCATTTGGAGTGGCTTTTTTAATGCTTCTTAAAGCAACTTTCTCTTAAAAATTAAAAGTTTTATACTAAAAAGTTGTTTTAAGAAGCATTAAAAAAAAGTCATCCTAAATGAAGCCTAAATCTAGTCATTACCTATCATCTTCTTAATTTCCTTGGCTTAATTTTTATCCTAGTCAAATGCTTATTGAAAATTTATCTAAATAATCTATTCGGAACAATTTTTTTATTATTTTACTTTTCAGCCTGCAATGATAGCGCTAAATGTGAAGACCCTCCATCCAACCAAAATTTTTTTATCAAACTTGTGCAATGGTAGCGTCGCCATCATTTATACAAGCAGATCCTAAAGATCAATCATGTGCATCAACTAGGGGTATAAACGAGTTGAGTCGAGCTTGAGTTATGCTTAACTCAAATTCAAATGGCATGCTCGAGCACGGCTCGTGTCAATGGATGCAGGCTCGCCAGCCAACTCATTAGGCGTAAGAAGATTAGGCAGACGTTCACTTCCGATTTTGGTTTCGGGCTCCGCTTTCCGCATTTCAGCCGCTCAACAAGTCAACTAATCGAGCAGCGACTCAATTGAACTCAAGCTTTATTATCCAACAAGCTCGTAAATCTGCTCGAGCTCAAAACTCGATAAACTCAGCTCTTGAACTCGTTATTGGGTCAAGCTCGAGTAGACTTGCGAGTCAGCTTGACTCGTTTGCACATCTATAAATCAATACAATAAATTCAACTCTCCAATCAGTCGATTATTTTTTAATAGCTTGAAAAGAATAAGAAAATAGTAAGATCGTGGCCCCGTGCTGGGAAAGAACAAGGACACCATATAATAAATGTCAAAAACTTCTACTAATCTTTGGAAAGGATAGAAGCAAGTACAAATCACATGATTAACGAAGGCTTTCTTCCCTCTCTTGACGGAAAAATTATTAGGTGCGGAGTGTGCACCGTCTGCACAAATATGAGTATCTAGCGGTACCCAACGGTACCGAGTGCCGGTACCTAGCTTGGAGTAAGGCTTGTGCGGACGATTCTCCCCGTCCGCACTCCGCACCTAATAATCTCTCCTTTTGACGGCATAAATTATTACGTTAGGAATCTTGATGATAGAATCATTTGAATTATAAAATTATATATTTATTGTATATTCTCATAAAATTCATACGATTCTCTTATTGAAACTTATACTTGGTATGTAATAATCTCTCCTTGAAGGAAGAGACTAAAGAAAAATAGAAAATATCTTTAAAACCTTTCCAAAAAAAATTAAAAGTTCAAAGAAGTGAATTTGATCGCATTTTTTGCTAGGATTAATAAACTCTAAGATCATCTCCACCGAATTGCATAGAGTGTTATGCCGTCTGTAATTAGGGGCGAAACCAATCATAATTTCAGGGGGGGGACAAACTTATAAGTAACTATTGACAGATATGTTGGGGGTCCAAGGAAGTAGCGTCCCCTGGTGGGATTCGATCAGACCGGTTTTTGGCTAGGATTAATAAATTCTAAGATTATTAAACAAATTTTGATTTACTATTTCTGTTTATATTTGGTTCATCATTTCCTAACAATAATATCTTTATACAATATATTTAATTATACATGGGGCAATTGTCAAAAGAATATAGTATTTTAAAACTTTCAGGTGAGGCAATTTTTTGAAAAATCTCTTGTAATAAAGACTAAAAAATATATTAAATGGGACAAATTACCTAAATAATCGTATAATAAAAAAAATGTGAGAGGTGAATAGTGCAACATCAAATTGATTCCATTTTTTTGTGTTAAGAAATTAAAAAAAATGTGAAAGAATATACATAATATTCTTTTTTTTTTATGTTAAGAAATGGAATTAGGTTGGAAAAAAATTATGATATTTTAAAGTGTTACTGTATTTTGTAGTAAGAAACGAATTTTTTTATTAGAGATGCCATACTAAGAGAAAACTTAAATTATGTATAGCAAGGATGGCGCGAGATTCACGCAAGGACAGAAGGCTTTAGAAGAAATTCCTGGAGCCACACAACTGCGTAGAGAGGGAAAAAAAGAGGTGAAGATAGAAAAAACTTTCGAAAAAACAGACAAAAATTCAAACAAGTCAACTTGAACATATTTTTGGCCAGGATTAATAAACTCTAAGCATCTTCAACATAATTGTATATGGTGATGCCGTCCGTCATTCGTTATTGATACGTCATCAAAAAATTATCTTGATCGGGCACGAATCTCAAGGCAAAATCAAGTTGGAAACTTCTGAAATTAAAATTGGGACCATCTGAACTCAGGTTTCAGCAAACTTATAGTCAAACTGAACGTCTCGGAAAAACGAACCCAACGACACCAAATTCGACTCAATCCCCCAAATAGGTTCAAATCAAGTCCGAAGCGTTGTTGGAGGGTTTGAACCACAATTTGGATTACCAAACGGTTTCCAAACATGACATGCTTAAAGTCGAATCGAGTGGCTCGACGAGACGAATCCAACGAGCCCAAAATTATTGAATTACAACATCACTAAGACATCAAATGTCCATCAAATGGTCTATGATCAAGGGATTCAACATCGGCCGTCCATCCAACCACTCACCATTTACCCTTGATCTCTCACCTATTTTACGGGTCATGCCACTCCAAAAATCTATAAATAGACCCCTCATTTCTCTTGAAAGGGGACCCAAGCAAGAAGAGAATAAAGAGAAGAAAGAAGCTCCTCCTCGACCAGCGCCTGAGTTCCGCCGGACCACTGCCTGTCATCGTTGCTCCGCCGGACCACCACCTGAGGCCCTCACCCTCGCCGGACCACTGCCAGAGGCCCTCACCTCCGCCAGACCACCGCCTGATGTCGGAGTTCCGCCGGACCACCGCTTTAATCCCTCACCTCCACCGGACCATCGCTTGATGTCGTTGCTCTGTTGGACCACCACTTAAGGCCCTCACCTTCGCCGGACCACCATCTGAAGTCGTTGCTCCACCGGACCACCACTTAAGGTTCTGATATCCACCAGGCCATCACCTGAGGCACAGACTTCTCTCAAACCAACACTTAAGGCCCTCACCTCCGTCGGATCACCATCTGTCGCCCTTGCTCCACCGGACCATCACTTAAGGCTCTGTGCTCCACTAGGCCACCATCTAAGGCTTAGACTTCTACCGAACCACCACTTGAGGCCCTTACCTCCGCCAGACCATTGCTTGATGTCATTGCTCTGTCGGACCACCACTTGAAGCTCTAAGCTCCGCCGGACCACCAATTCAGGCCCTCACCTCCACCGGATCACCACCTGTCGCCCTTGCTCCACCGGACCACCACTTAAGGCTCTATGCTCCACTAGGCCACCACCTAAGGCCCGGACTTCTGCTGGACCACCACTTGAGGCCTAGAATTCTACCATACCACCACTTGAGGACCTGACTTCCACTAGACCACCACTTGAGGCCCTTACCACCTCCACCAAACCACCGCTTGATGTCATTAACTCTGCCGGTCCACCACTTGAAGCTCTAAGCTTGACCGGACCACCAATTCAAGCCCTCACCTTCGCCGAATCACCGTCTGACATTGTTGCTCCGCCGAATCACCACTTGAAGTCCTGAGCTCTGTCAGACCACCACTTGAGACCCTCACCTATCCCGGACCACCACTTGATGATCTGAGCTCAACCGGACCACCGCATGAGGCCTGGACTTCTACTGGACCACCACTCGAGGCCCAGATCTCTACTGGGCCACCACCTGAAGCCTAGAGTTCTACCAAAGTATAGCCCTACTACAACGATCTTTTAGACCCCGGTCTCCTGCCGACTAAGGTCCTTCCGACCTCCGTCGCCTACTATGGTCATTCCAACCTCCATCACCAGACACAGGTCTTTCAAACCCCGATCTCCTGCCAACTACGATCTTTCAGACTCCTGTATCATGCCGACTACGATCCTTCCAACCTCTGTCACCTATTATGGTCGTTTTGACCTCCATCACCAGACAACAGTCTTTCTGACCCCGGTCTCCTTTCAACTACGATCTTTTCGACCTCTATCTTATCAATTATGGTCCTGCTGACTAAACAAACATGTCTATGTTGATTATTGTAACTCTCACCATGTAATGCGCTCTATATGATGTACATTTGTACCATCAAGCCAAGGCCTTCTCCCTAAGAAGGATCCCATTTGTAATCGACTGCAAATACTAGTAGATTCTTTCAAACTGGGTCATGCCCCGTGGTTTTTTCCTCTTTCTCAGGGGTTTCCACGTAAAAACTCTAGTGTCTTTTATGAATGATACACCCTCTATATATTCTGCTTGTGTGCTGAATTTTCGTACAATGCTAAGATGTTAAACTTCATATTTTTCTACCGCAACGAATATTCCAAGACACAACATTTCTATTTGAATTTTAAATCGTACTCTAAAATTCCAGAGACAAACAGTGTGATGCCAAACAAACGTCAATTTTTGTGTTAATATATAAATATAAAAAATGTGAAAATTATAAATAATAATTTTTTAAAGTTAAGAAATGGAATTTAAATGGAGATAAATTATTATATTTTAGAGTAAAGAAAAAAAAAAGAATTTTTCGGTTGGAGATGCCCTCGGAAAAGAAAACCTGATTTAAATTATGTATAGGAAGGATTACACGAGATTCACGTAAGGGCGGAAGGCTTTAGAAGAAATTCCTTAAGCTACGCAACTGCAGAGAGAGAGAGAGAGAGAGAGAGATGGAGAGAGAAGGGATAGAACACAGGATGGTGGAGGTGAACGGAATAAAGATGCATTTGGCGGAGAAGGGAGAAGGGCCGGTAGTGCTCTTCCTCCACGGATTCCCAGAGCTCTGGTATTCGTGGCGCCACCAGATACTATCCCTCGCCGCCCGCGGCTACCGCGCTGTCGCCCCCGACCTCCGCGGCTATGGAGACACCGAAGCACCGACCGACGTTTCCGCCTATTCAATCTTCCACCTCGTTGGTGACCTCGTCGCCCTCATCGACTCTCTCGGCCAAGAGCAGGTATGACCAGAACGTTCAACCTCTTCTCTCATCTGTTCATCAATTTCAAAATACTTTTTTTTTTAATTATTTTTATTTAAGAATGAGAAAATATATTTAATTTGAAGGTATTCGTGGTCGGTCATGACTGGGGTGCGATTGTAGCTTGGAATCTATGCGTTTTCAGGCCCGATAAGGTTAAAGCGCTAGTGAACTTGAGCGTACCATTCCTCCCTAGGAAGCAGGGTCTGTGGCGAACCGACACCTTGAGGAAGATCTACGGCTTCGATTTCTACGTTTCCAGATTCCAGGTCTCTTCAGTCTGTTTTTCAATTGTTCATTTGATGCGTTAATATATCAAAAGCTGGCCTTTTGTGGTCTTTGGTTAAATCAAGTTGGGATTATTTAAGCTCTGATCTTACTTCCAAATTACAGTCCTTTCTAATAAATTAAACAGAGCCTTTTGAAATCCTTTGCCAGCTTCTTCTTCATAATCGCACCTTATACATAACTGCATATCAGGAACCTGGAGAAGTTGAAGCTCAGTTTGCACAAGTTGATACAGAATTCCTTATGAAGAGGTTCCTGACATCTCGAAATCCAGGGCCTCTTATCATACCAAAGGGGAAGGAATTTGAACGAAGAGCCAACAAAGACATTACCTTACCTTCCTGGCTTTCTGAAGACGATATCAACTACTTTGCAAGCAAATTTATCAAGACAGGCTTTGCAGGTGGACTCAACTACTACAGAAACATGGACAAGTAAGCTTGTTCTGCTTCTAAACTTTACATTCAGATCTAGTTGGCTCAAATATTTCCATTTTATTGTTCAGGAACTGGGAACTCAGTGCACCCTGGGATGATATTCAAATTAAAGTACCCACGAAGTTCATTGTAGGAGATCAAGATCTGGCCTACCATTTTGTTGGCGTGAAGGATTACATTCACAAAGGTGGCTTCAGAAGAGATGTTCCTTTCCTTCAAGATGTTATTGTGATGGAAGGAGTTGCCCACTTCATAAATCAGGAAAGGCCTGAAGAGATCTCGAACTACATATACGAATTCATCCAGAAATTTTAATTGATCCTTCAGCTCACTGTTTGCTGATCAACTTTTTCAGTTCTGAGTAAAGTAACAAACTATTACAGTAATTAATCGGATAAGAACTTAGTGCATGGCTAGTAGCAGCATTGTGATGTCAATAAGAAGTTCCTGTTGGGCTTTGTGAATTCTATCAGGAAGCTAGCTTGGTATCTTATAGTTGAAGGACTATTTGATAATCTCTGTTTCTTTTACTCTCTTATTTTCAGTGCAATGTTACGGACACTTGAAAGGACCTTTTGATAATCATTTCCAATTTGCATTTTTTTCTACTCATATTTTCAAAAAAATTTCATAAACATATTTAACGAGCAAAAATACAATAAAATCATATCATATCATTCAAAATGATTGATTCTATATTATGAAAGCTTACAAAATGAAGAGATGATGCATTTTTGGCATATTTAGAAAAAATAAATCTATAGAAATTAATCAAAATCATCAAAAACAAAAATAAGAGGATAGTTACTTACAATGCTTAGAACAATTCTTGTGAAAGAGATGACAGACAAAAATGACCTGAAAACTCTTCTCTATGTTCTTCTCTCTCCTCTTCTTTTTTCTTCTT